CAGTATTTATCAAAAACATCAATATTTTAAGTTATCAATTCTTTCCAAATTGATCTATAGATTGAATGTAATCCCAATCAAAATCCCAGGAGGATTTTTTTTATAAGAAATTAACCAGCCAATTCTAAAATGTATGTGGAAATGCAAAGGTCACAGAATGGGCAAAACAATCTTGAAAAAGACAGAGTTAAAAGTCTCCCATTACACCACAGGGATGCATCAGCAAAACCCAAGTTGTAGGAAATCCTACAGGGCAAATTAGTTTATATATGTATGTGTGTATATATATATATGTGTGTAACGGTGTGAATTTTGCTGATGCATCTCTGTGGTATGATGTCACACACACACACACACACACACATATACAAAGAGACTAAAGACTTAATAATTAATAGCACACTGAAAACAGAAACATTTACAACAATTAGAAATCTGAGTAACTGAGTATTTAATGAAATTACAAATAATGTTAATTTTTAGAGTGTGAAAATGGTATATACTTAAATTTCTACTTATTTTGTATTCATTATCTTATTTTTACCAACATCTAATTTTTTTTCCTCCTTCTAACAGAGACTAGTAGATATACCCAAGTAATTATTAACATTTTACTTTCCTCAACACCAAACAGTGCTTAGGGAGAATATGAGGGAAATGTTAAGTTCATGACACTACCAAAAAAGGGAGGAAAAAGGTAACAAAGGTCTTTCTAAAATGTTAAATTCTTTCAATGTGGCTATGATAAACACCATTAGATTTAGTATGGTGGGCAAGAGCCCTGTGTGTGGTGGGATTTCAGAGATGCTAAAAGATTTCTCTGCCCAAAATCACCAAGTGATCAGCTGGATCATTACAGTTCTATTTCATATACCAAGTTCCAGTGAAATTCTAACTCTTAGAAGCTCTTTTTTTTTTTTAATTTTTTTAAAATTTAAAATTTATTTATTTATTTGAGACAGAGCAAGAGAGAGAGCAAGCATGAGTGGGGAGGGGCAGAGGGAGAGGGAGAAGCAGGCTTCCCCACTAAGCAGGGAACCTGATGTGGGGCTCCATCCCAGGACACTGAGATCATGACCTGAGCCAAAAGCAGACGCTTAACGGGCTGAGCCACCCAGGCGCCCCTAGAAGACTCTTTTTAAATGCAAATGTTCTGGTGAGGTAACCTACTCATCCAATGGAACCCATTAAAATTTTAGCAAGTAGTTTAGAACAGTTTAGATTAGAAACAGCTTAGAAGTAGTTCAGACATTTAGCTAGAAGGCATATCTGGGATAATATGAGTCCAACCAGTTTAAGTAGTAGAGGAGAAAGCTGTGTCCTATGGAAGGTCCAGCATGAGAAATCCTAATGCCCAAAAAGATGAAACAGCAGGAACAAACCCTAGCACACCAACGTGTACTAATGGATATTAGAGACACCAGACCAGTGTTTTTCAAACTACCTCTACAACCAGAATTATCTTTCCATAGACTAGAACAGAATAGAAAATATCCAAATGTATCACACGGCAGATAAGTTTTCTTTCATAAAACTATTTTTCAGGGGGGTGTGTGTGCGTGTGTGCACATGTACACACACATACATACATAGGTCAGAATGTAAAAATATGTTTTACTGTGGGTCATGTTCAAAAATATTTCAGAGCCATCACAAGAGTCTATAAGCTTTGGGTGAGCAAAGGCTGTGTCTGCTTTTATTCACCATTACATCTGCAGAAACAACACACTGCCTGGCACACGGCAAATGTTCAATAAAATTTGTCAAGTGAACACAAGAATGAGGACAGATGTTTAAAAAAATGTAGGGAAGAAACCAGCACTAAATTTTACCTACTTCACAATTTTGCTTTGGTCTCCATAGTATCCTAAATAAAACTTTGTGTTTTTCTCAAGAGCAGATTTTTACAAGGAAGAGTAATTTATAAAAGCTAAAACTCTTCTAAGTTCTAACTTTCAAGCCTATAGAGTTCTAAAGCCAAAAATGACTACTTGAGCGTCCCCCTCCCAGTGTTGCCCTTTTCACAGCCAACCCCCCTGCTGAAGGAGCTGGAAGTGCTGTCCTCCATTACCCAAGCCCAGAATTTAACCAGGAGGCAGCAGCAAAGGGACTGATAAACAAAAATGTACTTTGATCCTCTCCAAATGTACGGGAGGAATCATTAACCCTGCCATCACCACCACAGTCTGCTAGTCAAGAGCTGAAACCTTGTTGTAAGAAAGCCAACTACACTGGGGCGCCTGGGTGACTCAGTCGGTTAAGCGTCTGCCTTTGGCTCAGGTCATGATTCCAGGGTCCTGGGATCGAGTCCTGCATCGCATCAGGCTCCTTGCTCAGCGGGGAATCTGTTTCTCCCTCTGCCTGCCACCACCCCCCGCTTGTGCACATGCTCCCTCTCTCCCCCTCTCTGACAAATAAATAAAATCTTTAAAAAAAAAAAAGAAGAACAAAGCCAACTATACAGTAAGAATGAAGCCACAAAACACTCCTACTGCAGCATTTGGCTTCTGCATGAGATATGCTAAGCATTTTATTAATGAAAACATTTCAAGGTTGAATCATGATGATAAGGTCTCCAGTTTACATATCAACTCTACTGGGGTTCCCTGGATTGAGGGTCCGAGTCAATCATCTCAACACAAGTAGAATGGAGTGTTCATGTCAGAGCCCAGGGCAAGTACAGGAATAAGGAGCAGAAGGGGGTGCTATGAAACAGATATCTCTCCCACTGAATCTCTTCAAAATTGAACACCTGTTTCCCAAGTCTAAAAAAGGAAAATAGTAATGAAAAAGAGCTTGTGAGAGCATTCTGAGGCTATTCTCCCAGACAGCAACCCCCCTCCCTGCAAAATAAGAATCTGACCTATCTTTTATTACCTGTTTTGTAAGTATTTTTTTTAAGATTTTATTTATTTATTTGACAGAGAGAGAGAGCAGACAAGCAAGGGGAGGGGCAGAGGGAGAGGGAGAAGCAAACTCCCTGCTGAGCAGGGAGCCCAACATGGGGCTCAATCCCAGGACTCTGGGATCATGACCTGAGCCGAAGGCAGACACTTAACTGACTGAGCCACTCAGGTGCCCTGTTTTGTAAGTATTCTAAACTAAACTGAGTACAGTCATAAAAAATATTCATTTCCCTTCCTACTGTAGAATTCCTTTCTCTTCCCCTCTCTGCATTATAAAAATGTTCTTAACCAAAGGTTGCCACACACCCAGCTCTGTGAACAACCACAGATGTTACCATATCTTCTCTAATTCTTTCAAGCACTCAGATGAATTATATTTATCATACCTCCCTTTAATTTATTAGCATATGGCTGTATTTTCCAAACTAAAATCCATTAACTTTTATAGGTTTGGGGTATTATTATTTTTTAAGTCCTTTTGCAGAAGTGGAAACAGTTGGGTTTTACTAACCATCTCCATGTATGGTTAAGTGGTTGAAGTAACAGGAGAAACAAAGATACTGATTTTAGCAATGACTAAACATGAAAGTGAAGGTATAAGAAGTAAATGTTCTCCAAAGAGGCAAAGAATGAGAGCTGCTAGCAGTACCCAAAGGGGTGGACACATAAAACTGCTCAAGCACCTGGTATAAATTGCTTTCTAAATAAGAAGTAAGCCTGCACTGTTCTCAAAAATACCAATTAGCCAATGAACTAAGAAAAAGAACAGCTTGAGCTTCTTTGACAGTTTTCAAATCTGTAAGCTCCAAGAACATAAAGAATCTTAAGGGGCAAGCTCTCTCATTCACTTGTTTATGAATTCACCAATTCTTTTTATTAGACTTGCTAAATAAATCTATAAATGTAAAACAGGCATTCAAAAACAAATAAGAGGGAGGACCCAGAAAAGAACAGTTGGATCTTTAAGGCACTATAACTACTTATTTGGCTCCTATTATTTTTTTTATCCTAAAATTCTTACTAAGATAAGAAACTTTGCCTCTACTTCCTCATAACGCAAATTTGTTATGGCTATAGGGGAACCTGAGATTTATCAGCTGAGCAGCAAAACTGATTTTGCTATATGTAAATGTGCATTTTTAGTTAGCCAATAAAAGAAATGATTGATAAGCAATAAGACCAGATAAAGTAAGAGCCACCTTCATGACATCAGTGAAGGTGGGTAAATAGGGAGAGGTTTAGAACTAGGAGAGAAGAATTTGTTTGAAGGAAACTGAAGCCAAAAAACAGACAAGTTCACCAAGAATGAAGTCAGAAAAGAAGCAAGACATTCTTTGATTAGGAAAATCTAAAAAGTAAGCAATAGCTCATAAGGTTTCCAAGAAAACTGTACCCAATATATGGATATGGAAGACCAAGGAAACATAACCACTCATTCATTAAGAATATCCACTAATGGGCTCCTGGGTGGCTCAGTTGGTTAAGCAACTGCCTTCGGCTCAGGTCACGATCCTGGAGTCCCGGGATCGAGTCCCGCATCGGTATCCCTGCTCGGCGGGGGGTCTGCTTCTCCCTCTGACCCTCCCCCCTCTCATGTGCTCTCTCTCTCAAATAAATAAATAAAATCTTAAAAAAAAAAAGAATATCCACTAATAACTGAATGAAAGATAATAATAACTAAATTGAGGACAAGGTTTAGATTATGAGTAAAAATGTAAGTGGAAATTAAAAGTAAAAAAGAGCAGCTTATTTTTTTTAAGTATTAGCTGAGTCAAATAGCTTTGAGCAATGAGATTCTTATTTACCTAATAATCTATTTATAGATGATTACCTTCCCTGAGATCAACTCAGTTTATACACTAAGCAATGTCTGCAGCCTACCATGCTAACCAATCCTAAACTACAGTTGCACCCTGAGAAGAAAAAGAAAAGAAAACTAAGATAATGGCCCTCCTCTCCCCACCCCCCCATTTTACTTTGCCTCATCCCATTCCCTGGCTGGCAGTGGACTTAAGGGTGGAAATGGAAATATCCTTGAGTGAAAGCTGGGACCCTCCTGTTTAGACCACTCAAAACTTACTTTAACATACTTACCAACGTCTCCATAAACATATAGGCCTCTTGGAGGTCTGCTCCTTGAAAAAAGCTGCAAATTAAGAACAAATTATAAATCTCTAACAAGGAAATAATTAAATATCATCACATACAGAGTTCCTAACTGTCAGATACAGGACTAAAATGGGCTATTGTATACAATAAGTTAAAATATTTGATGTAAAAGCCTATGAAGCCCAAGTTACATTTTAATACAGGAGGCAAGAATGATAAAGCCCAGAGCAAGGGCTCTGAAGGGACACAACTTGAGTTTGCATCCCCTACATCATTTAGTAACTATGTAATCTTCCCCCTCTTTCCTAAATGGGCTCCCCAAGCAATAATAGCCTAGACCATTCCCAGCAAGCAAGAGAGCAGAAGAATTTTTCTAGAGACACTGAATAGTCTCCAGAAAAAAAGGAAAACAAACAAACAAAAACCTGAAGGTACTTATGTGCAGACTTCTCTTAAAGAAATAACTGGTCCCCCCAAAAAAGAAATAACTGGTCCCTATTAGATCACCTTACAGTAGAGCACACCAGTCAACCAACCTCTTATGATAGAGCCTTCAGTTGGCTTGTTAGTATCTGAAAAGATTCTAAAATGAACTGACACACAACAATCAATAGAAACTTGAAAAGGAAAACGTTCAAGATGAAAGTTGGAGACCAGAACAAGGGTACAGAAGGGAGAAAAACTCAGAGGAAACAGGGGCACCTGGGTGGTTCAGTCGGTTAAGCATCCACCTCTTGATCTCGGCTCAGGTCATGATCTCAGGGTCTGGGATCGAACCCCACGTGGGGCTCCACAATCAGTGCAGAGTCTGCTTGTCCCTCTCCCGCTGCTCCTCTCCCACCCTTGTTCATGCACATGCACTCTCTCTCTCAAATAAAGAAAGAAAGAAAATCTTTTAAAAATAAAACTGCAATCAACATAATTAACATGCTGGGGAAAATAAGAGAAGCTATTAAAACTGTAAAGCAAGAACAAAATGCAATTTTGAAAAAGGAACATCAAGAACAAAGGAACATTTTGAAATTTAAAATATGGTAGCAGGGGGGCACCTGGCTGGCTCAGTCAGTAGAGCATGTGACTCTTGATCTCAGGGTTATGAGTTCAAACCCCACACTGAGTGTAGAGATTACTTAAAAATAAAAAAAATCTTTTTTTTTAAAGATATTATTTATTTATTTGACAGAGAGAGACACAGCGAGAGAGGGAACACAAGCAGGGGTAGTGGGAGAGGGAGAAGCAGGCTTCCCGCTGCGCAGGGAGCCCGACACGGGGCTCTATCCCAGGACCCTGGGATCATGACCTGAGTCGAAGGCAGACGCTTAACGAATGAGCCACCCAGGCACCCCCAAAATTAAAAAATCTTTAAAAAAAAGTATGGTAGCAGAAATACAATTTCAGAAAAAGGATTAGAAGATAAACTTGAGGAGCTGTCTCAAAAAAATACAACAAATAAACAGCAACAAGAATAGATGGAAAAATACAAGAAAATTACTGGATTAATTCATCAGGAGGTCCAATATCTGACAAAAAAGGAATTCCAGAAAGAGAAAATAGAAGAAAAAGGAGAGGAGGAAGTTATCTAAGAAAGAATGCAAAGATTTTTCTCAAATTTGAAGGACTTCATTTCTAGATTGGGAGGAAAGAGTAAGTACCCAGCACAGGAAGGGAAATAAAACCTATACCAAGTCACAATCCTGAAATTTCAGATACCAGGGATATAAAGAACACCCTACAAACATCCTAGGTGGCTTTTCGGGAGGATGACAAAGGGGCAAGGGAACAGGTCACAAACAACAGATAAAAACTTGAATAAGATTTGAGGGACAATGATTTCCAATCTAATCCATCCAATCTATCCATCAAGTACAAAAACGGAAAATTGGCATTCCATACATAGAGGGTCTTAAAAACACCTCCCCAACAGAAACAGGAACACCGTGGCTCCAGAAGAGACAGATGATCCTGAGAAGGAAGCCCTGGTAAGATGGAGGGTTGCTCTAGAAGCAAAGAGGTACAAGCAGATCAAGAAAGCAATCACGTCCGGATGGAAACAGGAGGATGAAGAGCTCCAAAGGAAGAAACAAAATGGAACTTCTCTTTGCCTGATATTATAATCAACCCAAATAACCATCCTAAATTTTGTTCCACTTAGAAGAGTAATCTTCAAACTCTGCAACAGTTTCTAGACACCTGTGCAAAAGCCAAGGTAAGCCAGGGCAGAGAGAATTCAGACAGGGTAAAAGCAGAAAGAAGTGAAGGTAACGCCACTTAGCACAAACCAGAGCAGTCAGGATTTTGGCAGAGAACATTCTCAAAGGCTATTATATAATCTAGTTTTGATCATACAAAATGCTTTTGTTTTTTAATCTGTGGGTTCACTCCAACATACCTCAGAAACCTCTCTAGCTTTCCTGCTCCTCTTGGCTTTCTCTGTGAACCCAGCCCCTGAGTCCAGCACGCCCCTTCCAGAAGAACCTTCCCCATGGTTTAGGCAAAAGGATCTTCTTTGCTTTGATTCTGCCAGCTGGATGCCTTCCCTGTGTTCCTCTGCACATTAACTCTCCATCTATTCTTAAACTTCAACGGAAAACAGATTCTACTCCTGCCAAAACCTCTTAATTTGTTTTGTTTTAAAATCTTATATGTGCCATTCTTGTACACTGGTTATTCTATTTTCAACTTGCCAGAAAAAAGCATTATGCTCTTAAATAATTTTAGAACAACTTCAAATTGGAAAACTTGCATACAACCTCATAATCTCTAAGTATATTCTATGTATTAGAAATCTTTTGAAAGCAACATCTGGGGGCGCCTGGGTGGCTCAGTCGGTTAAGCGTCTGCCTTCGGCTCAGGTCATGATCCCAGGGTCCTGGGATCAAGCCCCACATCGGGCTCCCTGCT